TTTGATGGATCAGGCTAGTCTGGGCTATCCAGGCAGAGTGACTGCGCATAAATTAGTATGCTCCGGAGACAGCCCCCCCAAGCACTGACAAAATGTGTGAGCCGAAGGCCAAAAAGTGTGGGCAAGCTACACCAACTGAGCCTATGGGGAACACCGAGCACAAAATGGCTGACCTAACCCAGCACATAAAATGGCTGCCAAACAGATCCAAATGGCTGACCATTTCTGTGCTTATGGCTGATTATTTAGGTAAAGGCAAACGTTTCCCCTGCTCGAAAGCCATTCGGATCTGACTCCAAGAATGCGTGCTTTTCCCCGACTCCAAACTGAAGAGCCAACGCTGTCCGAAAATAATTTGCAGCTGTCCAAATGTGGTCTGGCTTTTACCTTTTGATAATCTGCTGCACACTACTGAATTGAGAAGCAGGATGAGATAAATAAAAAGATTCAAATCGAATGAAGCAATAGGCGCCATCTAATCTGACACAACCATGGGTCCTCTGATATACGCCACAAAAGCTGTGCCTCCATCCTTTTGCCTGGCTCTCATTCACCACTGAGGCCACAAACATAAACAACACTTATAATGGCTAGGTACCCCAAAGGTCTGCCACCCCCAGCAACTACCTACTCCCACCAAAGCAGTCCCATTGGGCTACTAGCTCACCCAGCAATGTGCCGCTCCTAAAGAATTGGGCGGAGGGCAAGAGCTCCAGGGACAGGCCAAAACAGGCACCCAGAAGTGGACCCATGCTGAGCCCCAGTGGAATACTGCAGGACCATGAGCCCCCCAGGTTCCCCCTTCCCACCGGGACTCCAGCTAACTGCCAACCCACGCTCGGCCCACACGTGCCACCACTCCAGGCCCAGGCACGTGCCCCCCGCCCCTGATGGCCACCCCAGCCCCAAAGTGTGTGGAGCGGACCGCTGCACCATCCCTGCAGGCACTGCATTTTCCAGGCCCCAAACCTTCCATGGCCGCAGTGTGTGGCAGCCCGCAGCCAATTCTTGTCCAGAGGCCCCCGGAGCCAGCTAACACCATTGATGTCCGCGCTGCTGCCCCGTCGGGCCCAGCGCCGCCGCCACCTCTGCGCCCTGCGCTCCACTCGCCGAGCCGCTCCCAAGCCAACTGCAACTCCTCTGCCAACCATCACCCCGCCGACGAGCTCCACCATGCATCCCCTGGCCTCAGAAGGCCCAAAAAGGGAACCACACACAGGAGCTCAGCCATCGCTGACAACCGCATGGGACTACTGGGGAGAAGACGCAGGGCCGTGCTTAAGCCTTCTCAGCCCGGCCCCTTCCTGATTCCCATATATGGTGCTTTTGGCGCCAAACCCAGCCTGCCTCATCCAGCTGGGAGGCAAATGCGCCTCCCCAGCGCAACAGCTGGGCAGCTGTGGTCTGTTGAACCGTGTTTGCAGTAGGTGAAATGAATGCTTCCCCTGGGTGATGGATAATGGCATAGTAATTAAATAATGTGGGAGGGGAACTTTTTGTTTGCAATCAAGTCACAGCCAACTTACGGTGACCACACAAGGTTTTCAAGGCAAGAGACAAATGAGGTGTTTTGTCATTGCCTGCCACTGGTAGCAACCCTGGACTTTCTTGCTTGTCTCCCACCCATGTACTAACCCTGATTAGCTTCTGATGAGATTGGGCTAGCCTAGGCTATGCAAGTCAGGGCAAGAGGGGAACTACATTTCCCATAACGCTGTGCAAAAATGTGCATGCAGACTTAAATGATCACAGGACTTTGTTTAGTTTTTAAAAACCAGGTTATTCATCTATATAAATTGTCTGCTCAGTGGCATATGATAGGACAAGTCTCTCACTGTATGAAACCCGATTAACAGGCTTTAACTACTTCTGGCCAAGTGACTAACAGAAAATCAGGTTTTTTGTTGTTGTTGTCATTGGTGAATGGAATGTGACCTGAACTACTGGGTGTTTGAGCATCTTTAAATAAAAGATGGCAGAGTTATAGCTATTTGTATAGAGATACCTGAAATAGCCTCTTCAGTGTAATGATGATTTCGGAAACTCATAGATTTCACTTTGCACAATATATCCGAAATGCAAGTGAATGATGCATATGTAATCTCCATCTCTAATGTAACATACAAATTGATTCTTATAGTAATCTTTATCTTATTTTGTTACTACTTGACATATGGCTTCTGGCTCAAAGGCCTCATATCGTATTAATATGAACTGAATGCTTAAACCACTGATAACTGTGGTAACCAAAAAAAGGTTCTGCATGTGTGGGGAATATATTTATTTCATAGTAAAACATTTAAACATGTGCCCCCTTCACATGTACTCTGAAGTGGTAGAAGAAGAAGAGGAGGAGATTGGATTTATACCCCACCCTTCACTACCCAAGGGAGTCTCAGAGCGGCTTACAAACTCCTTTCCCTTTCCCTCCCTACAACAGACACCCTGTGAGGTAGGTGGGGCTGAGAGAGCTCTGACAGAAACTGCTCTTTTTCAAGAACAGCTATGCCAGAACTATGGCTTGCCCAAAGTCATCCAGCAGGTGCAAGTGGAGGAGTGTGGAATCAAACCCAGTTCTCCCAGATTAGAATCTGCACACTTAACCACTACACAGTCAAGAAACAGTGGTACTGCATTACCTGCTGCTTGTATGGACCATGCTACTCTTTGATATTTTGCCTGTATCAGCACTATTTAGATTTACAGGGCTTGTGTATGCAGGTTCCCCTCCTGTTACAGTTCCAATACAAATGCTGGATTGATAATGAAGCTGTCTTGCAACCTTACAAATCAGGTGTCTGCTATTGGAATATCTTCCTGTTATGGGACAAGCTGGACCGATACACTAGGGCTAATTTCACAAATGTTGGATAATGCACTTTCAGTGTGCTTTTGCAGCTGGATTTTCCTGTGTGAAACAGAAAAATCTACTTGCAAATAATTGCTAAAGGGCATTGAAAGAGCATTATCCAATGTGCATGAAATTATCTTATCCCAAGGCATACTAGTAACATTGCTCTCATTCAAAAGGGGTTATAGTACTGGATTTGTTCAGAACTGGTTATTTTGCATACACCCAAGAGATTATATCCAAAATTTCACCAGGACCTGTCTAGAATTGCTGGATGCTTTGTCCCCTTGATCTTAGCAACCAGATAATCGATGCTTGATCCTTCCTTATGTTGAGGATACCTGAACTGAGGCAACTTTGGAGAGTAGATTTTGTCCCATCACATCCCTGCTGAGTTCTCTGCGTCCCCAAACTCTGCCCTTTCCCAGTTCTGTCCCCAAATCTCCAGGAATTTCCCAACCCAGAGCTGGCAATCCTGGAAGGCCAACCCCACTAGAAACCATTTCCATTAGAAGCCTCCCCCTCAATTACCCCTAGGCACAAGAGGGCCGAGTGCTTTGCTAGGCTTTTTAGCTGCCAAATGAGATGAAAAGGCAACTGCTCATCAGGGAGCTGCACAGCTCATTGGCCCTGCAACTATTAAAATGTCATTTGAAGGATGCATTGGAAGGATGAGTGTGATGGGGGACCTCTAACGCATGCCCCTTTGGTGACTCACAAAATGGCAACCTGCAGCTATGCTGCTGCTGTCTCTGGAGTCAGCCTTCTCTCCACTGGTGCTTTTACCAGCACACGGAAAGTTTGGGCTGGGACACAACAGGAGGAAAGGTCAGGCAACAAGTGGGTGATGCCCACATGCCAGCACACTTAGTCCCCTGATCTATTGCGTGGGTTGCACTTCTGCCCCACTTGCCCCTGCATGAAGTGGCAAGGAAGGGGGGAAAGGAAGGAGAGATGGGGCATCTGTTCCATCCCTCCCCACCCTCTGCCCACTCTCTGTATGCTCCATAAACACTTAATTGTTCAAGAACACTCGGATTTGCTAACCAAATAACATACATATCAATTTAACTGAAATATAAATCAGAGAGACAGGAAGGGAATGATTTGGAATCCAGATGTAGAGATGTGACATTTTGTATACCTAGAGCCTCACCAGGCCAGCTCTAGGTTTCGGGGACTCTGAGTAGCTCTGATCCAAGGCCAGCATAACCGATGCACCACACTGGTTATCACTTAGAGTCTAGAGAATCTATACACACAGGTATGCCAAGGAAAAAAAATGTGTGTTGCATTATACAGATTCTTTTATGGTAAGTAGTTAATGCCCTGACCAGGATAGCCCAGGCTATACCTTCCGATCTCAGAAGCTAAGCCAGGTTGGCCATAGTCAGTATTTGGATGGGAGACCACCAAGGAATACCGGGGTCACTATGCAGAGGCAGGCAGTGTCAAACCACCTCTGAACATCACGGGCCTTTAAAACCTTACAGCGTCCCCATAATGTGGCTCCAACTTGACAGCACAAAAAAAGCAGTTAAATAATCAAGAGCACTAAGACTATGACCATCACTTGGGCATCTCCTTAACTTCATAATGTTGTCTGGTTTTGTACACTGGTTGCGATGTTGTACAGAACCATCATTCCATTTAGAAAAAAAATCAACCCAGATGGGGCCATTATGGAACATCTAACCATCTTTTACAGCTCCCTGCTTCTTCCATTTTATTTCTTATACTTAAATCCCCTTCATGGTTCTGGAAGTACATGGTGAGTTACATAAGCCCCAGGCAATTTCCCATCCAGGCTCTGACCTGCTAACAATGGCACATCATGTGTTTGGGAGCAGCTTTTCAAATGTGACATTAGTCCTTTGCGCACTAGGTCTTAAATCCTGGTTCAACCCTGTCCCCGAACTTGCATTCTACACTACACTTGAGTTCACCCTTGTAATTATCTCCGGGTATTTTTTTTTGTTTTGTTTCCACATTACATTGAGGTCTCCCCGGTTTCACTCCTCATTTGTCCCGGGATAAGCGGATGTTGTTATAACCAGGGATAGATGCAAGGTATTGTGTCGTGAGTTAACTCTGATAAAACCAGGGATGAGAGCCAAGTGTGGAAAGGACCATTCTGTAGAATTGCTGGGTTTGTTGACAATTTGGTTCATGCCTGATGGTTCATTTTCAGGTCCGAAGCCTGCCGTCTTAGTGCTGCCTGGCATACTGACAAGTAGTGCAACTTGGGTGACTAATATGCCCAACAACAGCCTGGGCTTTGTGCTGGCAGATGCTGGCTTTGATGTTTGGTTGGCAAACAACAGAGGCAGCAGGTGGTGTAGAAAACACCTACGTTTTTCATTGGATCAAGAAGAATTCTGGGATTTCAGGTAGGTTGAACAGGAGGGCACAAACCTACAAATGTGAGTGTTTTTCTATCTTTTCTTCTTCTTCTTCTTTAAGGCCATAAAAGCAATTGCTTTTGGTATGAAGTGTTCATTGCTAGTACATTATGCTATGGATACAGTTTCTATCTGCACAGATGTTTTCACAAACTCCATGAAGTAACTGATTATGAGCATTTAGGCTGGTTCCACATGGAAATGAGAAAAGCCGGCCCTGCTGTGGAAGCAGCAGAAGGGGGCGGGTGGTGGTGGAGGGAGGCTATGCAGGCACTGTCCCTGCTCCGATCACTGCTGCCCCTGACCTCCCTCCCCCCAACACCTCTGTTGCATTGGTGAAGAAGGGACAGGACAGTTTCAAGTGAGGATGGTAATTAGTCGAGAGACAGGCCAGAGTAATATGGAAAAGTGTTTGTTGAACCGATTTGCTTTTAACTTCCAAGCTCTCTGTTTCCTGGACTCTCTGTTCTTCTCTGCTGAGCTGCATCCTGTAGCTGTTCCCTAACTCTCTACCCTTCCCTGTACCCCTGTGCTATTTCTCCAGCTACTCTCCTAACTTCTGAGTTCCACATACAGCTTTTCTTTTATAGCATTAACAAAGAATACTATGGCCCTGGTCACACGGGCCGGATATCGCGGGGGGGGGAGGCGTGGCTGTTTGCCCCGAAGCGAACTACTGCGCTGAACTACTGCGCGGCAGCGGGATCAAACATCCCGCCGACTTCCCGTGGTTGGGGGGAGGTGCCGATCATACCTCACTCCTGCAGCGCGGCAAAGAAGCGGATCGGTGGGTTTTTTTTCTTTTAACCCAAGTATTTGCATGCTCTGTTGGGTGCTTGTGCGCATCCATGGAGACTTGGGGGGGGGGAAAGCCTTTTCGTGACAGGACATGGGCGGGCGCCAGATGCCACCGGAAACGTGATCAGACGCCCGCCGTTGCCCCATGGTTTCCGGAAACTAGTACCTCCGAGGTACTAGTTTTTTACCCCGCATCTTCGGCGGGAAGCCTCGGGTGAGCCACGGGAGCTCTACGCTTCCCAGATGTGGCGGTGAGATCGCACCCGGAAAATCCGCCTATCTTCCGTCCCTCTAGCGTGCCTAATGCTCCATGTGACCGGGGCCTATATTGAGATTTTAAATGAAGAAATAGTTTCCAAAACCCCTGCATATCCCCTTGAATGTATACGTTGGGAGTCCCCGGTGTGGTGCCTGTGGGGCCGTGGCACCCGCCAACACCTTTTGAGGTGTCTGCCACATGCTTTTAAGGAGTGGGTGGGGCCAGGTAGGGCTTTTGCCCAGTAAGGCTTCCGATTGCCTTTTGGAGGTTTGATTGGCTGTGCAGATTTTTTTTTAAATGTTGTTTTGGCAGCAGCTGCCACCACAGCACAAGGATCTACACTGAGAGGGCAATCCTCTCACCCATGTTATTTAACATCTTTATGCACCCCCTTGTCCAGCTGGCACAGATTTTTGGACTTGGGTGAGCAGCCATCCAGATGCCACCCCAAAGTACTTGGCCAGTGGTCTGGAGGCCATAGTTGGTTGGTTAAAGCAGAGCCAGCTGAAATTAAATCCATCAAAGATGGAGGTTCTGTGGCTGGGCCGGGGGGGGATGCTGGGTTGGGTTTCCAACTCCTGACTCTTGACGTGGTGCCACTAACATCTGGACCATCTGTCAGAATTCCAGATGTACCTGCAGGCTCTGAAAAGTGGGGTACCACTGGTGTACAGGCTTCCTTACCATTCAACCTGTCCAAGTTTCATCTGTTGCTGGACTGATGAGGTCCCCCCCCCTGCTTTTAGGCTCAAACTACATGAGACTTCTTAACAAGTCAGGTCTGGTGTTCCCCAGACCCAACTTGTGTTCCCTGCAGACACACAGCACCTGTGGGAAACATCATTTTAAAAGTCTGGGGGCCTAGGACCACAGCATGGGGGGGGGGTTGGAGGGGCTTCTGCCTTTCCCCATGCCATTTGGCCAAATCAAAATGGGCCTGGGGTAGTTATTCTACCCATTTTGGAGCTACATGTACATGAAAAGCGACAGTCTCTGCAGCTGCTGTGTGGCTTTAGGGAAAGTGAGTCAAGTCTAGGGAGCCTGGACACAATGCGTTAAAAGACCAGTGGCTGCCCATGAAGCAGATGCTGGCATTTGCCTGCCCCCCTCTTCTTGGATGAAGCATGAGGGGAGAGCAAACCAATCATGGCTCAGCGCGGGAGTGCTGGCCAATCAAGGGCAAGCTCGCCAGCCAGATCTGGGGGCAACCGCCCTTCCAGGGCAGATCAGCCCAGTGCAAGCTCTGGAGAGGTCGGAGCTACGTGGCTGGGTGGAGAGAGAGTTTCCACGTGGAGTGTCTATTACCGGCAAGACTCCCTGTCGGCAGTGTGCACCTGCTGTAGCAGGCTAGGTTTGGAGGGGTCTGGCCAGGGAAGGGTGCGGGGAGGCTCTAGGCTGCTTCTCCCTCCATATACTCCCTAACAGGGAGAGGGCTTGTCCCAGGCGAATCACCACCCTGTTGGCCAGGCGGCGTGGTGGGGGTGACTGCTAGGCTCCCCGCCATTGCTCTCTGCAAGTTGGCTGGGGAGATCAGCTGTGAGCAAACAGCACCGGGCGGCTTTCCCCCCATGTGTTTGGGTGGCAGTTGGGATCACAGTGGCGTTTGCCCTTGCCACCTTCCAGGGTTTTTTGGGGGGTGATTCCCTGGCAACTGGTCCCCTCCACTCCCCAGGTCCAGTTAGGTCTCTCAGGCCTTCACCCAGCTTGGACCATGGTGGCACCCACCCCTTCCAGCAGCTGCTGGTGGCCATTTCTCCAGTGCCCCCCCTTCACCCTGTCTTCAGCCACCTTCTGGACTCTGCTCACCAGCAACGGGGCTTGTGCGATGCAACTACTGGCTGTGGTTCGGGTGACTGTTTTGTTTGTTTGTTTTTCCTTTGTGTTGTGGGCACTGGGGATGGCGAGTGATTTTTCCTGCCGGCCCCCGGGATCAGCCAGGAGGGCTGGCACTGTAGGCTCATTTGGCTGGGTGATGCCGGGGCCTGCCAGGCGGCCAGGGTTGCAGCAGTGCCCATCCCTTCCACCATCCGGAGGCTTTTACAGGGGCTGATCCCCAGCATCTGCCCTTACACACACACACACACACACACACGTACACCAGGTCTTGTTAGGTTTCTGAGGTTCACGCCCGGTTTGAACTACGGTGAAAATGTTCCAACCCTTTTATCATTCTACTTGCCCTTTTCTGCACTTTTTCCAATGCTATAATATCCTTTTTGAGGTGTGGTGACCAGAACTGTACACAGTACTCCAAATGAGGTTGCAGCATCAATTTAAGCAGGGGCATTATGATACTGGCCGATTTGTTTTCAATTCCCTTCCTAATAATCCCCAGCATAGTGTTGGCCTTTTTAATTGTAGTCGCACACTGTCTTGACCTTTTCAGTGAGTTATCTACTATGACTCCAAGATCTCTCTCTTGGTCAGTCTCTGCCCTATTCCAAGAAGATGCTGTGCCACTGAGCCATGGTCCCCGTCCATGATTACGCACTTGGTCCCTTAAAACCTACTGGTGGGGAAGAACACCTGAAGCGGCCTCCCACTGAATTAAACCCATGTCCCTTAAAGAACCTGGTGGCTAGGAAACCCAAATACCACCCATACAGAATCAGACCCTTTCTGCCCCAACCCTTGGTGGGGAGGAAGCCTCAGTGCCACCTCACAGGGCAGAATGCCCTAGACCTGAAGATAAATAGGGCAACACACATGTTTTCCAGCTGCAATACACATGATCAGAAGCACTGGTTTGTTGCGGGTGTACATCCACATGCACCCAAGCTTCGAAGTATGTGAACACATGAAACGTGCCCTATACTGAATCAGGCCATTGGTCCATCAAAATAAATACTGTCTATGCAGACAGCAGCAATTCTCCAGGGCTTCTAGTAGAGAGCTCTCACATCACCTGCTACAGGATCCTTTTAAATTGGAAATGCCCATAACTTGTGTTGTGTTTCATTCAAGGGGCGGGCGGGCAAGAGTCTTGTGTAGTTTGGCCCTTTGTGAGAGAGACAGCTGAATTGTATTGGCCCATCTCTCAATCTCTTGAGCAGTAGGCTTTCTGAGATTTGGGCTTCCTTCCATTTGGTAGCTGACAACTGGAGTGGCCCTTTGTTCCTCCTGGAGTTGTCTTTGTTTCTCCTGACCTAATCACTGAGAGTGAGCCTTGGACTGCAAATCCACCCACTCCGGTAGGGATAATATGGGATTAATTGGCTGCCTTTGAAACCAAGTGGGAAGTTTTGATATCTGCTCTGATTGACTCAAGTAGGGAACTTTTTTTGCCTGCTTTGTGTTGTTCTTCAGAGAATCTTAGAACTGGTTAGACTATTGCTAGGGGTGGCAGGAGTATGCTGGGTTGTGCAACAGAGAGCACCTTGAGGCACTGAAGGATGAAGGGCTATTCCTGAACCAGCCCATCATTTGTTTGTGGCATGGTGGGTTGGAGAAGGAACACCCTTTGTGCTGAGCAGCATTAACCATACCCCTGGTTGTCTGTGCAGCAGACTGGGGGAGGGATATGAGACTTGACACAGTTAATGTGCAGTCTAGGATCAACTAGGTCAGTAAGGACATTGGCCAAGTTAGAAGTCAGGGTGGATTTGCCTGAAATCTTTGTTAAGCTGTGGGCTACCTTAGCTGTAACCTGACCTAAAAAGGTAGTCAGATTGTGATGGCGCAGACCAGCTATTTAATATAGTTTGATCCAGTTATGGTTGCACTGTGGCATTGTTTACGACTGGGGTGCCAGTTTTTGTTGCCTATCTGGTGATGCACAGCTGTGGAGCATGGAACATTGGTGCCATTTCCCTGGGTAGAAGCAATCTCCTGTAAAACAGAGAGAAATCTTGAAGCTTTTCATAAGCCATTATAGGTGCATCTAAACAATACCATGGCTCCTGTTCTGAGTACCTTGGATGACGGTCAGGATAAAAGCCAAATAAACATATAGTGAGGATATATGATCTCATTGTCCAGCATGTTCTCTCCCTAAGATCAACATGAAATGAACTCACATTTTTCCTCTACCTACCAGACAAATAATATTGACATTTAATTTCCATTTTGAACAGTCTTCCCAATATGAAGTAGTAGTAGCAGTTATAATAATAATAATACATAGCATTTATGTAGTGCAAAGTTTTCAAGCACTTCACTGTAACCTTTACAACAAGGTATGATGGTATTACAATTGTGCAGCTTAGGCTCGCATATGGCCACCTAAGTATTTACATGGCAGAGGCAGGATTCAGATTTTTACAGAAACAGTCTTCTCAGAAGGCATTTCATGCATGCTAAATGAGGTGATGCCATTTAGGAGGTGTTAAATAACAGCTTTTCTTCATCTATTAGAGAGGTGTGTTCTTGTGAGCAAGGAATTCATTGTTTGTGTGGTTAAGTATTTTCCACCAAAGACTTACTATTGCATTTCTTTCACTTCTCTCTCATTAGTATCAGGGGTGTGTTGCTTCAGAAACCTCTGCTGTGGGTTCACATTCTGCCTTTGGCAAGTCACTTTCCATCCTCAGGCTTCTCTGTCTTCAAAGGGACAAATGTATTGTATAATGTATTCTAAACAGTAAATAAATTCAAAGTTAACTTACAGCACTGTGAATAGTTATAATGTATGCTTTCAGCTGCCTATTTTATTTTGTTTCAGTTTTCATGAAATGGGAATGAATGACCTGCCAGCCATTATAAATTTTATTCTTGCTAAAACTGGACAACAGCAACTCTTTTATGTAGGCTATTCCCAGAGTGCTACCATAGGTATGTTGCCCAACTTGTACAATATTATTGTACAGAAATGCTAAACAATTTATGGTGAAACTACCCTATGCTGTATTTGTTGGTCACTTTACACAGGGATATTTATCCATTTGTTGAAGTATGTGTGTTTTTGAGTGGTGCATACATGAGGTGCATACATAAAGGCCATACATCCTTAAAATTAACTAAGTTTGTCAGACATACAGAAATTATATTGTAAAACAGAGCAACCATGTAGTTTTTTAGCTTGCAGGAAAATAAGAATTTCGATTTCTGAACATCGAATGCTTGCCAAGTGTTTAATCCATGGAGTAGTATATTTATCATGGGACTTTTAAAAACAGCAACAATATAAAAGAAGAAGAGATTGGATTTATACCCCACCCTTCACTACCCAAAGGCGTTTCAGAGTGTCTTACAATCTCCTTTCCCTTCCCTTCCCCTCCCCACAACAGACACCCTGTATGAAATATACAATCTGGTAGGTGAGAACAAAAACACACCTGTGTTTTTCTGAAGGAATATTTTTGAATCATCCCATCATTTTGGCTGAGTTAAAGGCATTACATTGCCCTAACGTATATGCTTGTCTAAATTTAGAAATTGTTAAATAATAAAAATAAGACTGGAGAGCAAAAGCATCCTTAAACACAATGTTATAATGTAGAGGAGAACATTTATAACAAACCATGTTGTTTACTGTTCCACTTGTTGATAGTACAGTGGCAAATCAATGGCGATTTCATCCTGTATCTAAAATTATTAACCTTTAGCTCAGTCTTGGAGTCTCGTATAAGTTAGGGAGTTCCAGTACAATTGTGAATCTCTTTTACATATAATGGCTTCCCCAATTATTTTAATGATGGGGTGAAAACATGCCAGCTCCACTGTGAAATGAACATGATGCATGCAATCTCACCACTGAAATCGGACAAATCTTTCATGTGTAGGTGTTGTATCTGAACACTGGGGTGCATGAAGTCTAAATACAACATGAACAAATTGCAGAGGTCAAATACACCTTCATAAACTTCAGTAGACCTGGGAACTGTTTACAATACAGTCACTCCCAAAGGGCAGAGAATACCAAATAGGACAGTATCAATGTCATTAATGTCGTGTGTGGGTAGAAGCACTGATAGGATTTCAAGGGTGGGGTGGGAAAGCCGTTTTGAATATGTATTTAGATATATTAACAACTTCTGATTTGAAAACAATTATGGATTTCTGCACACTAGTCTTTTAGTCAACATTGTTTAGTAAACAATGATTGCATGCTCTGGAAATATGATCACGTGCTCTGGAGCCACCTGAGTCTAAGTAGTTAGGATGAGATGTAAATATTTTAGATAAATACAACATGTCTTTATATATTGGGTCAAAGAGATGGTGAACCTTTATGCTATTCCTAGTGGGATTATCAATTTGTTTATCATTTTGCCAACACTCATGTTTCATTGAGTCTTCAGCTACCAAAATCCCAAAAGCCAAAACCACAGTCCACATGACATTTGTTATTAGGACCAACATGGTTGTAAACAACTTGCTGTCAGATTCAGTCTATGCACCATCACTCACATCAACCCAGAGAAAATAACTGCAGGGAGGCTAGACAAGGAAGCATCTTTATATAAATCAGCCATTGTGGTTTATATGGTATTCCCTGACCCCTATAAAAGCCTCCAATCAGGTTTACACCTGACAAGGCCAAGCCAGACAAGTTGTTGGAAGCTTCATCTATGGAGCTCTTAGCATTTTTTAAAAAGAGCAAGTATGTGGTGTTCCAGTCAGGCCTGTAACCAGAATTTTTGAATTGGGGGGGGCTTTAAATGTCAGGCCCCCCCCAAGGGAGCACCACAAAATAAAAAAAATTGAAGTTGGGGGGCCTGGGCTGGATGGGAAATCAGGGGTCCTTGGCAGTAAGTCATGGGGGGCAGGCCCCAAGATGTCTCACTGTAGCTACGGGCCTGGATCCGGTTCAGATTGGGATTGCAACACAAGGTGGAGGGGGGGTTAGACTTTGCCCCACATTATTTTCCCCAACCTGAAATGAACCAGTGGAGCTGATAGCTGGATCATTGGTTTAAACATGTAGGTTCTGGCTTGTATGGAGATAATTAAAGGAAAAGTTCCATTTATTAAAGGGAACTTTGTTCCTTTCTTTTTGCTTCTGCCTTGTGTGCCTTCCCCAGGCTCTTAAGGGTAAAAAAAAAAAACCCTTAAGAAAGGCACAGGCTACAATAGGGATGTGCATAAACTAGGAGAAGGGGGAAACTGGGAAACTATTATCCTTCTCTTGTCTGAAGTACTATGTGACCTTTTGGCCATGCAAGCAAGGGGTTGGACTCTAGCCCATTGTATCTCTGTGTCCGATGGTTTTCTACATCTCCTATAAAGTGTATTATTTTCTTTCAGCTTTCATTGCATTTTCAGCCATGCCCCAGTTGGCTCAGAAAATCAAAATACTTTTTACGCTTGGTCCTGTGTATTTGCTGCAGAATAACAAATCCCCATTTGGTAAACTTGCGTATACACCTGCTGACCTTATGAAGGTATGTATGTGTTTTTTTTTAACACATTGCCTCCATAGGCTTGGATCCTAAGCCTTGTTTCCACTTGTGCCTCTTTTCATCCATTGTGGAGGTCCAGTAACTTATGCTTCTGTACTAAACACTGGGTAGTCATGCCCATCCCAGAGTTCCCTTGAGACTTCATGCTCACAAAAGCTGATATTAAAAAAGGCATACTTCAAGCAGGAAAAGTCCTCTGTCTTTTGAGTTGCTGACATTTCCATTATCAGGACATTTTGATCAGATGTTCTCCATATCATAACAACAATGGTTGCCAGTGGTTAATTATATCAGATAACTTCCCAAACTGGGTACACTGCAAAGGAAAGATATCAAATTTATCAGAATAATCTGCTTTCCATGGCATGGCAGAGCTAAGATTCTGGCTTGCCCCATCTCCTTCTCTCACTCCTTTGTGGGATGGGGCCCTTTCACTGGAGGCATTTTGTTCAGGGGTCCACAGAATTGGACACCTTGGCCCGATTCATTTGAAACTCAGGTGCTTTTTGATGGGCAGGCAACATAAGATCCATGGCAATTTTGACATTAAAGCCACTGCAGCCCCCTCCCCCAACAATCCCCCCATAGGGATTAATGATAGATATGCCATTTTAGGTCACTCTTTCTTCCCCCCTGTTTTGGGAGGGCAGAGCCTTTTCCCCCTCTGCAAGTAGAATAGCTGGGGGGCATCTTATTCAAGGGCCCACAGAAATGGCCCCATGGTTCAATTCAAATGGGTGGGCAGATAGTAGTAGCTCCCCTGAAATGGTGTTATTTGATTGAACAGCTACTCCAGACCTCCCAAAAAAGTTCCCTGTAGACAATAATGGCAGAATTGCTATTGTCAGAGACCCAAGCCTGGGTCCCGCTGGGTCACTGCTCCTTGTCCCTTGAGCAATACCCAGCGCATAAGTAAAGCAGACCTGTAAAATATATAGCTTTATTTAAAGCTTTGAAAGGGTTTCACTACACAGTACAGTTTCTATAGCTCAGCAACAGAGAAAATAAAGAAGCAACTGTTCGATCTAATATATTGAACACCTGGTATTAGTCTTCCGGTCTATGGCGACAATTGACTCAATCTTTAAAAGCTACAATTGACTCAATCTTTAAAAGCAACGGAGCAAATGGCAGTGCGACGGGTTGTGACCCTCCCCCCCGGAGTCTTGGTAAAAGGCTCCTAGCCAGGGGGCTTTTGAGGGGCGACCTCTTTGATGGCGCAATGCCGGAGAATGGAGGCGCTCCTCCACCCTGAAGGTCCTGCCGCTGAGTGACCGCATGGTACGAGTGCTGCTGATTGGGACAAGCGTTGGAGATCGGGTGCGAACAAATGATGCCGAGCGAGCCCAGTTGGCCAACAACGAAATGTGAGTCAGGTTGAAGCGAACATGAAGATTTAAAATGAAAGCTGCCCCCCTTAAAGAGCAACGGAAAGTGAGTGGGGGAGGGGCTCCTCCCAAATGCATAAACAAAAACACGGAATAAAGAGGGGGGAGCAGAAAATAAACGTTTGAATCTTAAGAGACTTACCAGAGCGCAGACAAGCATTTGGGCGAATATCAGAGACTTTAGCAACTTTTTGAAAACTAAACAAATCCAAAAAGATGGCGGGGAAAGCAAAACTAGTGGGTAGTCCTCGAACGGAAGAGACCACTGAGCTTTCAAAAATGTTGGCAGATACCTTGCGCCCTCTGCTGGATGAAATGACTAATATCAAGCAACAACTGTCAATAATTGGTCAGAGTTTGGCTTCACAGCAGCTACAATTGACTCAATCTTTAAAAGCAACGGAGCAAATGGGGGAGAAGGTGAAGGAAATGGATTACTTTAAGCAGTTAAATGAATAGTTAAAAGATAATTAACCTAGCATAATCGATTATGTTCATTTTTTTAAAGCTTTTTAAAGTAACATTGAGATAAGCTGATGTATTGATCTCCTAATCTTGGGTTTTTAGTTATTAGTGGGTCTTTTTTCTTTCTCCTTAGAAGTAATTCCCTTTCCCATATTTTCAGTTATAGTTTGTAGTTTGTAAAAAAATCAATTAAAAATTCCCCTTAGGGGGATTTAAAAAAAAGAGAACACCTGGTATTAGATGGCATACTTTCTTGCAGCATAAGAATCCAAGCTGTAGCATAAAAGATTTCTATACATTGAAGTCCATCATAATGTAGCATATCAAAGCATACTAGCATGGTATGAGCATAAAGTTAGCATTCCTTCTCCCTCGTATTATAGCTTTTTGCCCTCTGACACCAGGTGGTCCTTTGGATTCAATCAGGAATGTCTCTTGATGGAACTTTCCAGAGGATTTTAACATCTGCTAATCCCTCCCTTCCCATCTGATTATATAGCTGAGCACAGGTTTTCATGATTAACCAGTTACCTTATTCCTGAGCCCAGCCTTGAAAGAGATAAGGATGGTAGCTGCAGGAAGGCTCAAATCACAAACTCCTGCAAGCTGCACTAGGTCCTATAATAATTACATTAACCTTTGAAGGGAGTTAGGGTGCTTTTGCCTCACATCCAGAACCTAAAAAGGTAAATCAAACAGAATAGAGGGCCAACAATAAAAACTTGATGTATAGTATAAAAAATACATGTATCTTTGCTTAAGGGACAATTTTACTGAGGACTCTTTGACTAAACAATCATTGGAAGGTACTTTCTGGACCAGAAATTATTATTAGTGAAACATCATTTGGCATGTGATTGCATCTTTGGAGGCTTCATTTATTCTTTTATTCTGTGCCTAGTGGTTTCACTTTGGAACAATTTTTTTCTGGTCCATCTTGTATCCATATTGTATGGTTGTATTGTATTATGATATAAGCCAATATGCTCCTCGTTGTGTTTGACCTCTGAAGAAGGCCTATACAGGCCGAAACACATCAGGTCAAGTCCATTGGCCCTTGTGTGTTAGATTTTGGTATTTTTACATGAGGTGTGATTGGGCCCTTATATGTTTTTTAATTCTTTGTTAATAAATACATGTATCTTTTTATACTATATACATCAGGTTTTTATTGTTGGCCCTCTATTCTGTTTGACTTACCTTCTTAGGTTCTGGATCCCAGGTTTCAGGGTTAAATCTCCCCCTTTTTTTGTCCCCGACGTTTGCCTCACAGCCATTCTCTTTCCTTCCTGACTTCTTCACTTTGAGAAAGGAAACAAATAATATACCACAACAAGGAAGGATGGCAAGCACAGGGTTTTAAGTGGAAAGGTAATCTTTTCCATTGTCACGCAGTCACTGTAAGAGTAGGAAAATGGATGCAGACAGGGTTTTTTTGTAATGCCAATGACTGGCACTATTTCCCCCTCAATAGGAATCAATGGGGAGAAGTGTGGGTACACTGAAAGGCACCCATGTTGGGGGGCTGAAAAATCAACCCCCTTTGTCCATTCTGCTTGAAACTTAGGTGGTCTTTAGATCTTTACATCAGAGAGACTAACTACATTCTGTGCGAATTTGGGGCCTCAGACCTTCAAATTGGTTACCCATTGAAAATAATGGACTCAAAAATCTAGAACCTGAAAAACACACGGATTTGAATCCCAAACTGATAACGCTCTGTCTGAAACAGAGCAAATCATGGTAAAACTGTCCTCACCAAATCCTGAATCTGAAATGTTCTGGATGTTAAAAAATTAATGCTTCTCTTTGTTAAAAGTTCTCTTCAAGTTTGACTCTAGCTCTGCAGAAGAAAGGGTAGTTAGAACCACTTTCTGTGCTAAATTCTCTGCTTTTAAGGAGTTTGGTTTTTATGGTTTTTCAACAGCAGCATGCCTCATTCCACCACTGCTATGTTGACCCAGCCTCATACAGAGGACTCCTACATTTCTACAACCTTGATATAATCATTATGGACAAATTGTGTTGTGTTTTTAAAATAAAACTGTTTTTAATTATAGTGTCATGGTAATTATGAAATTATCCCAATATTAAAGGGACTGTCAACTTTCCAAGAACATGGGGCAGGTGTTATGTTGGGGAACAGTGTTCAAAAGATCCATAAGTGGCATGTCAAAATGCCACAGGTGACTCCCGAGCTACTGAGAGCACCAGCAATGCAAATAAGCAAAACAAACATTCTCAACATCACAAAGTAGAAGAGGAAAACAACAACAACAACCCCTCATACCAAATATGAAAGTGGCATATCTGTACAACCCTATTTAACCAATTTATATATGTACCTTGTGCCATTTAAATGCAGGCTTATGCTTATGTGTATAGTGCTACCTTGATTTTCTTTAGCCAGGCTACAGTGTGACCGAATTTGGAAGCAGCTTAGCTAGCATGTTGTGAGCTCCAATATAAAGTTGACTTTTCAACAGTAACTTTTCTAGCAAAGACAAGCTTGACTTCATACAATTTGCAGCAGCTAGACAAGTAGAAATGAACGGAAGATTCAGCACTCTCACTCTTCTCACTCTTCTTATCTTTTGCAGGCTGTGCTGGGTAAGAAACAATATTGTGTTCTGCCAAATAATGGCTCGAGAGAATTTGCTATCAAGTTGTGCAACAAGGGCTTCTGGGACAAAATTTGTTCCAAAGTTCTTTTCATGGCTGGTGGAATTGGTCAAAATAATGTTAATATGGTATGTATACTTTGTATTAAACTCATTCCATATAGTTTGTTACAGAAGTTTACAAGGTGTACAGTGAATTTTGCTTGATTTCCTCCCTCTCTAGAGTCGAATGGATGTCTATGCAGCACATTTACCAGGCTGTACCTCTTCGAAAAATATGATACACTGGTCACAGGTAAGACATTTTGGAATTTTAATAATCACTGATTAGCAAATTTAGGGTGAAAAGTGACTGTTCGTTATGTGGTAATGAGTCTATTTGATACTTCTTTTCATGGGCAAATTTTGAAATGAGTGAATGCTTTCACATCTTATTTAAATTCTTGATATTCACACTATTCATGCCTTTCCAGAATGATCTCCCCTTCTCTTTTCTACTACTTTTTATTGGAGCCCAATTGCTAAAGATTGATCTGTATGGAGGGAACACCCAAATTTTGAATGAACCATACGAGAAAGATATTCTTTTATAAGAAAAATCAATAAAAACACTTAACGTATATTGAAATGTATTTCTCACACTTTTTAAAGCATCAAAGCAAAACAAGGTCATGCAATTTCTTATTCTTTCTTCCCTTTTTAGGTAATTCAAAGTGACACATTAAAACCATTTGACTATGGTTCTAAAAATGTAGAAAAATATAATCAGGTAAGGAATATGTTACATAGGGGATTTTTTTTGCAGATGCATAAGGATGAAGATAAGCATTTTAAAAAAATAATTTGCAATGTGAAGCCATAGGTTAAAGTTTAATCCAGATTTAGTTTTGCACACATTGTGCACCTATTAGCGAAGAAGTTCCCTTCTGAAAATGCAGCACATTCCAGTTTTATAAGCACAGAAACATTGGAAATGAACAAATGCATTCGTAGTAGTGTGGCAAAAGTTTTTATTCTAGCATAAACTTCCATTGAATAGTTCCTTTTAGTTGAGGTTTGATATAATTTCCAAAGGAATGGGATCACTCAGCCATAATATGTATTAACCAGCTACACAATACATAATATGTATTAACTAGCAAGCTGGTGTTATTATCAAAATTGTTTTATGAATGGTCTGGGGCCAACAGAAGTTAATTACATTTGAATTTTATAAAATTGCTTCCACCTAATTTCATGGAGTTTAGACTCTGCTGTCTGAAGCTACATTCTTCCTTTCATTATCATATATAAAAAGTTTGTACTAGGATTGTTTAAAATGCCAAAAGTTTCCTGTTAATTCTGTAGGAGAAAATATGCAACTAGGAGTGTGCACAGGGGAAAAAAATATCAGCAAATGTCGATATCCCCAAATCTCAGTATTGGTATTATACTGAGATTTGGGAAATACTTGGCATTGCTGTAAATATTTGGCAGGCCACTAGAGCTGTGTCAGTTTCACTCTGCCTCCACTTCCAAGTTAGTGAAACTGACCCACTCTCCTTCCCCTTCACTTCCCCAGCCAGCCTGCTATGGTCACCCACCTGGGGAAGTGAAAAAAGATCAGGGAGGCATCTTAAATGCCTCCCCTTCTCTTTCCAAGCCGTCCTTTGTGGCAGGCTGGCTGGGGAAGCAAAGACAGATTGGGAAGGCATTTTAAGATGCCCCCCCAATCTGTTTCCCCTTCCCTCCCTGATTCAGGGATGAGATCCGAATAAAAGCAGAATAAAATTGGCTTTTATTCGGGAGCACCTTATCTGAATCTGATTCAGCTGAATACATACCTGAAAAATACCAATAAGGTATTTTCTGGGTATTTATTCCATTCAGCTTTGCTGAATGCACACCCCTATATGCAACTAGCTGCTACTACTTTCCCCTGTCAGTCATTTTAGTATAACAGAAAAGGAATGAGGAGTTGAGCAATGAGAGGATGTAGAAAAACAGATCTACTTAGGAGTGAGGAAGGGGATGTACAGAGCTACTTAGGTTTGCTGGCTGCTCAAGTAAACAATGTCTGTTAATTGGGTAGAGATCTATGGATTAATGGCAGAGCTCTTAGAGTAAATAAAAAGGGCATTCTGTTCAAAGGCATTCTATTATTCACATAATTTGTACAACTAAGAAAGTGGTGGCTGACCACTATAAAAGGACAACAGTGGTATGGCAAGAAATAGATAGATGTAAAAGTAGAATCATAAAGGGAAGATTAATTAAAAGATGGAAGCATTAACATGTGACAAATGCTGTGGAAAATAAACGAAGTGGAAAAACAAGGGTACTACCATGGCATGGGGAGATCATTTACTTGCATGGAGGTAAAGTAGCAAGAGGCACAAGAGGAAAGGGTTGCCAGATCAAAGATCTAGGAAAGTCCTTTAAAACATATAAATAACATATAGCACCATGGAAGCAACAGATGGAACAAGAGAGGAGAGGCCAAGAAAACCGTAATGGCTTAGAATAGGAAAATATTAGGCAACAATTAAATATTGACTTTTGTTTTAATTGCAGTTTGTGATCCTTACCATTTCTCCCCTTTTTTCCTCAGACTATCCCTCCTTCATACAAGGTAAAAGATATGAAAGTACCAACGGTTGTATGGAGCGGAGGAAAAGACATAATGGCGTCTCCAAAAGATACTGAAGTTTTACTCTCCATTCTTGGGAATGTGATATATTACAGACAAATTCCTGATTGGATGCATTATGATTTTGTATTTGGCCTTAATGCACGTCAGCAAGTGTATGACGAACTTGTTAAAATGATCAAGCATTTTGCTTAAAATATTGGTTGTTCTCTTTAAAAAAAATCAGTTTTGGAAGATTTGCAATGAGATTGGCTTTCCAGAATTTTCTTTTGCTATTAACAGAATGACAGATGGGCAGTGTTAACTGCCCCTCAGTGAGAGGAGAGGGTTGACTGTTAACTCAATCACCATGGCTAGTAGACATTGATAGACTTATCCTCTATGAATCTATCTAATCCCCTTTTAAAGTTGCCTATTCCCATGCCCATTGCTACATCCTCTGGCAGTGAATCCCACATTTGAATCACTCTCTGCGTAAAGTAGTATTTCCTTTTGTCCAACCTGAACCTACTACCCATCAGCTTCATTGGATGCCCTTTAGTATTTTGGGAAAGGGAGAAAAGTTTGCCTTGTCAACTCCACTCCAAGCATAATTTTATAAACCTCTATCATGCCCCCCCTTAGTAGTCTCTTTTCTAAACTGAAAGGTCCCAGGTTCTTCAGCCTTTCCTCATAGGGAAGGCGCTCCAACCCCCTCATCATCTTGGTTGCCCTCCTCTGTACTTTTTCCAGCTCAGTGATGTCCTTTTGTATATACAGTGACCCAAACTGTACACAGTATTCCAAATGAGGGTGCACCATAGATCTCTACAAGGGCATTACAATATCAACCATTTTATTCTCAATCCCTTTTCTAACAATCCAATATGGGGTTTGCCTTTTTCACTGTTGCAGCACACTGGAGTGGCACTTTCATTGAGCTATCCACTATGATCCCAAGATCTTTTCCCCTCTCATATTCAGCAAGTTCAGACCCCATTAACCTATACTTGAAGTTGGGTTTTTTTTGTCCCAATATGCATCACCTTACACTTACCAAGACTGAACTTTATTTGCCACCATGTTGCCCACTCACCCAGTTGCCCGCTCTTCACATTCACCCTTGGTTTTCACAAGGGGTCATTTCATAGAAGAAGAGGTGCAGGAGCTCATTAGCATAACTTATTTGCATATGCCACACCCCCTGACATCACCGGAAGTGTGTCAGAAGGAAACACCCACCGCTCAGGCTCCACCCCAAAAATCTCCAGGTATTTCCCAACTCAGAGCTGGCGAGCCTACTTGGAGAAAAAGCTGGGATCCGCTGGGCTTTGCAGCGTGATCCTAAGCTGAGTGGCCACACCAGTTCTCCCAGGTTAGAGTCCATGCTCCTAGCCACTACACCAAACTGGCTGTCTTTGTAAGTGTTTTGAGTCTGAGTTACCAACAATAATAGCTCCTGAAGTATGGGCAATTTTGAGAATCAGTGTGCATAAGTTTGAACAAAGTCATTTGAACACTATAATTTGTCATAATTAAAAGGGCAGATGTAAAAACACATGGAATTCTAAGTGGGCTTTCAGTACAACTCAAAACATCAATGGGCTTGGAAGGATATTACTTTGCTGAGGATTTCAGTGTTTGCCTCCGATTAGCACAGTACCTAAACAGTCAATATATATGCAGCCTCTCCTCTTCAAATGAGCCCAGATTCTGTCAGAACTACTCAGCTCCAGAAAGCATGAGCTCAGAATCCAACAAAGTATTAGGACTCAGCCATTAGGCATAAGACTATCCATAAAGTGAGCCACATTTTTTATGTCACACTAGACAGACCCTCTCCAATAAGCAGATAGCACACATCACACTACCCCCCATAGCATACAACTTTATGACATTTATTGAGAAATACAGAAGGGAAAGTTTCATAGTTTCAAAAACAAAGGAGGAAAAGTTTGCACAAGAGTAAAAACAGTACTTCTTTTGAGAATACAAAAGAAGAAAAGCACTCAAGACACCACCTTGCAAAGAGGCATTCCCTCCCACGTAATAAAAGAAGGAAGGCTTCTTCTAAGATGCCATCCTTGGTGGTTTTTGTAAGAGTTTGCATTAAACTGATCATTTTAAAAAAACTGCCCACTCAGGACCAACCTTTTAAAGTTCATTAAAAACTTTCAGTTAACCCAACCAAACGTCAGGTTGCAGCCCCAGAAGCAAGCCAGACCTTTACACTGACTTCAAGTAACTAAAAAATGTATGGAAGGAGAAAACTTTTATCATCCCCTATTGAAGAACCTTACAAGAAGAATTTACTCTAGCAAAAGTAGATATTATCAGACTGCCAATCTCACTTAAAGTAAAGTAATTCATTCACTGCTGAGCTACCAACCTGGCCCACGTTAAGCAAACCCCCATAGCTTTCAGCTACCACTTCTCAGATGGGTTTCGGTGGCAATTTTTTAAGGGTTTTTCAGGCAATATATTCAAATAACATAGCTAAGATTAGGGTTAATGGATCTTGCTCTTCCACATTTACCCTTATGAGGGGAGCGACACAGGGCTGCCCTTTGCCTCCACTGATATTTGCTATTGCAATAGAGCCATTAGCAGAACGGCTTCGTCAGACGGAGAGATTTACTGGAATAAACATTAATGGGCTAGAACATAAAATGAATTTGTATGCTGATGACCTTACATTATATGTTTCTAACCCATCCAGCTCAATACTCTCTATTCTCCTTACGTTACAAGAGTTTGGTGTAATCTCGGGCCTACAAATCAATTATAACAAATCAGAAGTATACCCTATCAACATTAAGAAAGAGACGGTAAAATTGCTCCAACAACTTTGCCCTTTTAACTGGGTGCAGGGATCCTGGAGACATCTAGGTGTAAGGATGCCGATTAACCTAAAAGACCTATTTAAGATCAATTACAATGCTCTGTATCTAAAAATTAAAACTGACCTCAAGAACTGGGACTCGCTTAAGCTGACCTTACCGGACAGGTTACATCTGATTAAAAGTTTTGTATTTCCAAAATATCTCTTCCTCTTCAGAGTGCTACCGATTTTCATTACTAAAAAAGATCTACAATCCTGGCAAAAATCCTTAACAAGCTTTCTTTGGGAAGGAAAAAAATCTAGAATAAACTGTAATATCCTACATAGACCCGCAAAATTAGGAGGACTAGATCTCCCTTTATTGCATGCTTATCATCAAGCTGCAATTGTTTCCCAATTGATCCAAATGCAACACGAGGATGATCAGCAGCATTGGAGAAAAATCGCAGTGGTATACACTGCTCCATATAATCTTCAAGAAATTGTCTGGATTAAGCCTACCTTCAGACCAAGATTAGTTAAGGAAAATGTTTTACTGGCAACTGCAATTACAACATGGGATAAGATCAAACACCTCTGCCCTCAAGGGATCTCGCAAATGTCCTCATTTACGGGACAAGTATGGTTTCAACCAGGTCTACTTCCTCATGCTTTTGATGATTGGAAAGCAGCAGGATTTCGATGTCTTCATGACTTAATGGACAAAGGTACATTTCAGGACAAGCAATTTTTTGAGCAGAAATTGGGGAAACAGATCCATTGGTTTGAATATTTACAGTTAAAAAACCTCATTGATCACCTTGTGGTAATGGGTATATTTAGCAGAGAGCTAACAAACCTGGAAAAAATCATTAAACAATATCCTAATTCTCCGAAGGGCACGGTGTCTAAAATGTACCATACGATAATCTTGGGGGAGAATAATCTGAAATTCAACTTTCAACGCCGATGGGAAGAAGAGCTATCGGTACAATGGGACGAAGAAGACTGGGATACTGTATGGTCCTCCCCGGTCAATATCTTCAACATTTTCAATGTTCGACTTCAATTTTTTAAAATTTATTCTCGTTGGTACATAACTCCACATCAATTACATAAAATAAACAGGAACAATGACCCACAATGTTGGAAAGGCTGTGGGCAGGTCGGCACTTACCTACACTGTTTGGTGGGAGTGCCCGAAAATCAGCAAATTTTGGGAGGAGATTAGAAAGCAGATTCACGATATAACTTCGCACAATCTTAACTTCAAATCTGAGATTCTTTTATTAAACCACTGGGATACCGAAATAGAAGCCAAAAATAAGGAAATAATCTCATTACTACTGGCTTCAGCTCATCTAACAATAGCGTCATGTTGGAAAGCTTCTTGGCAGCCAACACTAAATGTTTGGTTTGAAAAAGTTTGTGATGGCTAAAATCATTTAATCATTTAACTCCAAATTTGAGTCAATTTGGTTTCCTATATTCTCATATCTCACCATGCATGATATTCTACCAATGAATTTACATTATCACAAATGGCTTACACTATGACACATTATTATAATAGTTTGTTGAGTCAGTAGACTAATATCTTTATGTATTATAGAAGGTCTTTATGTTGAAGTGTTATGATGTGCAGTACTTGTTGATTCTACTTATGGATATTGTTACGCTGTACTATAATACTGATGTATCTTGTTGGAAAAATAAATAAATAAAAGTTAAAAAAAGAGAGATTAAGCAAGGCCTTTGATTAATTCACTCTGTACAGCATTCAATTCACTCTGTACAGCATTCAGGCAGGTGGGCTGCTTCAAGCCATGAATGACCCTGGGAAACTGCCATTTCCAAGGTCTCTTGTTCTATGTCAAAATAGATATTTTCTCCAGGCCAGTGTCAACAATGCCAAAAGATCTTTGGGAATAAACAAATACAGGGGTTCCTGTATGCAACAGTGCCATGTTATCTTTGCCTATGTGAATAAGCTTATTTTCTGTCTGGTAAGATTTCTTGAACACCAGAGACAACAGAGTCGCCCAGCTCTCAGTTAAACTGCCTTTAACATTTTTAAGCTGGTTTCCAAAGTGTATTGTGGGCAATATTATTTTGGGACATGTTTGCATTACAAAATAATGTATCTCCCAAATCACAGATGAACAAATTAAAAAGTGGAATCCCTTCTTTAAATGTGGAAGTCTGTGTCTATCTTAGATCAGAATAAAGAATCACAGAGAAGAATCTTGATGCTGTAAGTTGGGTACAGAGGATGTAGAATGACTTTTCTCAGATTACTGAATGTTTTGTTTCTCTCTTTTCCATGACACAGGCCAACTGTGTTATTGGTGATTGGTTTATTTTCTGACAGTAGGATCTTGCTTTCAAATCTTCCTAGCAATTCCTTGGCACTTACTTTACCAGATGCTGGCTATGATGTATGGATATGAGACAACAGAGGGATGACTTGGTCCAGAAGACACCTTTCTATTAACCAAGAATTTTGGGATTTCAGGTTGGTTCAGGAAAATAGTTCAGAG